CATGGTTATCTGACACACTTTAAAAAACATCACACACATTCTTAAGGCAGAGTAGTTAGTAGTAATAGTATTGATTGAGCACTTAGAGTGTGACATGCTCTGTTCTAAGTGCTTTCTTCTCTTTCCTCAGTTTGCCATCTCTATCTCTACCTATGTTAGATGCATTGATATACAGTTGGCGTGGATTTGCGGTTGGTTGAATGCACGGATGCAAAACCTGTTGATACGGAGGGCCGACTGTATACATTGTGCTATGCCATTTTATATAAGGGACTTGAGCAGAGTGGATTTTGTTCTCAGTGGGGTGTCCTGGAACCAATCCCTCGTGGATACCGAAGGACAAGTGGATCTGCTTTTAGGCAGTAAGCATTTTGAGATTAGTCTATTTATCTCCTTCATCTTTGAGATTTCAATTCCTAGTACAGAACCTGGCACATAGTAAGCCATTAATAAAATATCTAAAAAGGTTCTATAATCTATATGGGAGAAAAATTCTGGGAAATAGGGATGAACATTATATCCCTAATTAGAAAGGTAACTGTCTATTATACAATTTCCTTCTTTATGGAGACCAATTGAGAGCAGCGATCTACCCTCCAGCTCTCTTTCCTGGGGATTCTATTTCTCTTCTCTAAACTTACTATGTTATTGTTAGCATAGCATAACTTATTTGCAAATTAATCTTACATGACTTAGAAATCTATGTATTGAACTTATTTATTTAAATTAATTTACTTATTTATGGTTATGTTGGGTCTTCGTTGCTGTGCACGGGCTTTCGTTTTTTTTTTAGTTGCTGCGAGAGGGGGCTTCTCTGCATTGTGGTGCATGGGCTTCTCATTGTGGTGGCTTCTCTTGTTGCGGAGCACGGGCTCTAGGTGCATGGGCTTCAGTAGTTGCAGCACGTGGGCTCAGCAGTTGCGGCGTGCGGCCCCTACAGTGTATGGGCATCAGTAGTTGTGGCGCACGGGCTTAGTTGCTCTGTGGCATGTGGGATCTTCCTGGACCAGGGCTCGAACCCGTGTCCCCTGCATTGGCAGGCAGATTCTTAACCACTGTGCCACCAGGGAAGCCCTATGTATTGAATTTTTTTTTAAAGGTATTTTAAAATTTATTTTGTTTGCATTGGGTCTTCGTTGCTGCACGCGGGCGTTCTCTAGTTGTGGCGAGTGAGGGCTACTCTTTGTTGCGGTGTACGGGCTTCTTATTGTGGTGGCTTCTCTTGTTGTGGAGCACGGGCTCTAGGCATGTGGGCTTCAGTAGTTATGGCACGTGGGCTCAGTAGTTGTGGCTTGCGAGCTCTAAAGCGCAGGCTCAGTAGTTGTGGTGCACGGGCTTAGTTGCTCCGCGGCATGTGGGATCTTCCCAGACCAGGACTTGAACCCGTGTCCCCTGCATTGGCAGGCAGATTCTTAACCACTGTGCTGCCAGGGAAGTCCCTGTATTCAATTTTTGTTTAGAGTTTTTGTTCTTGTGTTTTCCAGGAAGTTATAACTTGTCCTTACATGTCCAGTGCAGGCTGTAGGTGCAAAATATTATCCTCCATATTCCATTGTTAATAATTCTATTCTGTCATTTTTCTTTCCATATTGTAATAATGTTTGAGCTTCTCAAGCCTGTTTATTATTTCCCTGCAGTGTTAAACCAATGAAATTCCAATACTGAGCCTTTAAACTAGACACTTTCTAGCCACAGTTTTTATAAATTTTTACAAGCTAAAGAGGAGAAATGTTCCCTTTTTCTTTTCAGTTGCAAAAAGCAGATGATATTTTCATTGTTGAACAATTTTTGCAAATGTTTTGCATAAAAGACGGATATGATATTTGAACTTCAGAGATTTTTATGTTCTATGAATTGTAATCTCTAAGAAGACTGTAATTCTGATTGTTTGCCTTGCTTACTCTGTGGTCCTGGCAATAATATTTAAATGGATACATCTACTTCTAAAAGCAGAAATACTTGGGAGTTTTCTTTGTTGAGCCATAAGAAGGTTATTGGCTCATCTCTTTTTCTACCACACACAGAGAGGTTAAAACAAATAAAACCCATGACTTAGTGGATTTCTCATTTAAACAGAGTTAAAAAGTCTAATATCCTCTCTGTGCCTCAGTTTATGCATCCTTCAAATGAGCATAATAAGGCACAGGGTTGTTATAAGATTAAATTAGCTATAACTGTGTCTGACTCAAAGCACCATGTAAATATTAGCTTATTACAGTTCTGTGTGTTCCAGAGTGTGGTGTGCACACAGAGTAATGTGTACAAAGACGGTGCTGAATGAGACCGTTGTCAAGGTTTGGAAGAGAGATTGTGCTGTGAGGAGAAAGAACACTTATTTTGGGTCAAGAGACCTGCTTTTTTTTTTTTTTTTTTTGTGGTATGCGGGCCTCTCACTGTTGTGACCTCTCCCGTTGTGGAGCACAGGCTCCGAACGCGCAGGCTCAGGGGCCATGGCTCACGGGCCCAGCTGCTCCGCGGCATGTGGGATCTTCCCGGACCGGGGCACGAACCAGTGTCCCCTGCATCGGCAGGCGGACTCTCAACCACTGCGCCACCAGGGAAGCCCCAAGAGACCTGCTTTTGAGCCCAAAGTCATAGTCAGTAGATGTGGAGCTTTGGACAAATCATTTAGCCATTCTGAATCCCCTTCCACTGATAGGAAAAGTGGGAGTAATAATAACATATCCTGACACTTAAGATTTCTTTGAAGATTCCCAGAATCAATGCATGTGAAAGTGCTTTGTGTCTGGGAAAGTGCTATGACAATGTGAATGCTGATTGTGATGAAATGACAGAGTGGTCCCCCAGTCTACATTTTTTTTTTTTGGCTGCACCGTGCGGTGTGCGGGATCTTAGTTCCTGGACCGGGTATCGAATCTGCACCCCCTGCTGTGGAAGTGTGGAGTCTTAACCGCTGGACAGCCAGGGATGTCCCCAGTCTACAGATTTTGAGCCAGGAGGAGGAAGTATGTTCTAGAAAGTATTTTAGAGTCAGTCTCCCAGGTTATAGTGACTTTCTTTTTTTTTTAAAGTTTTTTTTTTTCTTTTGATGTGGACCATTTTTAAAGTCTTTTATTGAATTTGTTACAATATTGCTTCTGCTTTATGTTTTGGTTTTTGGCCTCGAGGCATGTGGGATCTTAGCTTCCTGATCAGGGATTGAACCTGCACCCCCTGCGTTGGAAGCCGAAGTCTTAACCACTGGACCACCAGGAAGTCCCTATAGTGACTTTTTAAGGCATCACTATTTTTAATTCAATACTTTTTCATCAATAAACATTTTTGAGAGACTGCTATGTGTCAGGCACTGTGCTAAATGTTGAGGATACAAAATCATTAAAACGATACAGAATTTGCTTTCAGGGAGTTTTTTGTAACTTTGTAGGGAAACACAGGTGTGTAAATAAATATGGGTGATGAGGTTTAATAGCTTATTAAACCTTTTAAGTTATATCTTTTTTTTTTTTTTGCGGTACGTGGGCCTCTCACTGTTGTGGCCTTTCCCGTTGTGGAGCACAGGCTCCGGACGCGCAGGCTCAGCGGCCATGGCTCACGGGCCCAGCCGCTCCGCAGCATGTGGGATCTTCCCGGACCGGGGCACAAACCCGTGTCCCCTGCATCGGCAGGCGGACTCTCAACCACTGTGCCACCAGGGAAGCCCTAAAGTTATATCTTATATATATGATTTAAGTATAGAAGAAGTAGGTGGGGTGAAGTAGTTGGAGGCATGACATTGGGTGACAGAACAAAGGCCTGGCATGGGACCTTACCCTATTTATCCTATACTCAGTCTTTCCAGACATCTGCTAGTTGATGAGTGAGAAGGAACCTGCATGTGTGGGAGAACCACAGAAACACATAAGGCAGGGCCGTGCATGCAGACCACTGGACACTTTGCTTAGGTCCACTGACTATATTATACAGGTAAATCACGTGTGCATGGGCAGGAGTTGGAGTGATGGTTAACAAACATAAGGTCACTTGGAAAATTCTAGCTACAAAGCAAAAGCAAATTTTTCTAAGTATACAATGAAAACCACAAACTAAATGCTTCATTGAGTTGTGAACGATAACCTCAGCCATAGAACTGGGCTCCTTATGTAATTCTCTATTATTATTTGCATGATTGCCAAAACTGCAGTATGGGCATGAACACTCACAGTGGATTTAACTACTTATCATAGAGTTTATCCCAGGGAGGTAGCTTGATGTAGTAGAAAGAAGCACTCAGTAGATATTCAAATAGAAGAAAGGACTTGGAGAAGAAAGGAGGAGGGAAAGCAAGATGGAAGGAAGGATGGATGGCAGGAAGGAAGGAGGGAGGGATGAGGGGAGGTAGATGGTGGGCATTAAAACTGAATATTTAAATCCCAGCTCTGACTCTTTAGTTAGGTTAACTCTGACAAGTTATTTAACCTCTCTGAACCTTATTCTTTTCATCTGGACATGGGGCAGTACCTTTCAGGGTGATTGTGGGAATTAAAAATTACTTTTATAAAATGCCTGGTAAATAAGTGCTTATTAACTCATTTCTAGTAATTTTTGTATTTAGGTAAATGGTCATGCTGCGACCACTTATCAATGTCACCAAATTGTATATAGCACTATTTTATACATTATTCTTACATAGTTATGTGCAACAAACTATATACATCATAAAGATACGGTTTTTAGAGTACAGTGATGGATTTTGAAAGAAATTTGGCATTTTGAAAAATAAGTAATATACCTAAAGAATGCATGCTTCTCAGTGTTCTATTGGATGCAAATATGTCTCAGAAAATCTAAATGAAAACACTAACACCTTTACCTGTATCTGAGGGAAGTAACATGCTTCAAACACCTGAACACCGTTTAAATTACAACATGCACCTGAAGCCATAATGCTCTCCTCCACTTTTCCTTTGTAATTAAGGTGCTTTTGGAGTTATAACTGGTAGTGACTTTCTCTCAAATGGTGTCAGACATGGAGGGAATAAAGATTAAGAAGAAATACTCACAGATAGGATCTGGTCTCCTCTCTGGAGCTCCCCACTCAGGTCTGCTGGTCCACCAGCCAGAATGAAGGATACAAAAATACCTTCTCCATCTTCTCCACCCACGATGTTGAAGCCCAGGCCAGTGGAGCCTTTGTGCAGGACCACCTTGCGCGGCTCCCTGTAGAAACAAGTGGAGAGCACAGTTCATAGGGTGGCCCACTCAAGATTTACATTGCTTTTACTTTCACCAGGATATATGACACCAGCAATTCATTACCTGTGAAAATGGCTTCCCCAATTATGATAAATTTGCATATCAAAAAGATGCTAGTATCAGGGCAGATGTCTGAACTCCTCACTGTAACAAATGCCAAAATACCATGCAAATTTATTCCTTAATTCCAAAACATTTACTTAAACTAGACTTACAAGTTTCCTTTGTTTAAAACATCTGTTCTTGTAATGAGCATTAGAGTAGTATTCAGTAGGATGGATGTATACAAAAAGAGGGAGAGAATTTGGGGGACAAGAGACTAGACTGAATAGGTCAGACCATGAAAGGTCTTACATGCCAGCCTGTGGGTTTGTTGTCTGTTTGATTGTTAATTAAAATTTACTCTGTAGGCAGTGGGGACTCACTGGAAGATTTTGAGGCACGAAGAATATTTAAATCCATTTTAGGAAGATTAACAAATGACCATAATAGGACTGATGGAGTTGGAAGCGCAGATACGATGGGAGACAGGAAAACCAGTGAGGATGTTGTCCAAGTAATCCACGTTTGAGGAAGTGACAGCCTGCCCAAAAGTGATGGCAGTGATAATGAAAAGAAAGGGTAACATGAGAGAGGTAATTTGAAGGGAGGAACAGAGGGTCCAGAGATTGATTCAGGTATTGGAGGAGGAAGGAAGAACATCTAAGTAATTGGCAAAAGAGGGGTAGGTGGGTCATGAGGATGAGTATGATTTTGAAATGCTCAGTTCCAGGTACTAGTGGGACATCCTTGTGGAGATGTGCAGAAGCAGTTAGAGACAAAGGATAGGAATTTAGGTTCTCAGAGGGGACTGCAAATTCAGATTTGACGGTCATCAATAAAAGGATGAGAGATGAAATCTTAAGGCAACAGTTCATTGAGTTTGTGTAGAAGCTGGAGAAATATGGAATGTAGCATTGCAAAGGATCTTAGAAGTCATCTAGTTGAATTTTCTCTATCAGTAGTTTCAAAAAATGTATTCTGCAAGCCTTAGGTTTGACCGAGGTGCTTTTTGTATCACCCACCCTCCTCTCCCAGATATCTCAGTTCCAATCATTAAAGGTTCCTCTTCTGTTTTCCTGCTCTTAATGATGTAAGAATGGCCAAGAGCCATCCAATATATTTTTATACTAATGATTACACAGATTTTGTTATTTGCTATCACATTTCCTTGCACAAAGAGATGCATTATATCTATATTTGACCTTATTATGAGGAAGGATTTACAATGCACATCAGAGCTTGGACTATAAGTAATATGTAATAATGCTATGTATTAAGACTTAATTCATTTTCTTCTGCAAATACTTTGTAAGCACCTACTATGTCAGGAACTGTTCCAGCTACTCGAAAAGTTTGTAAGCAAAACAAAAATCCCTACTATTATAAGCATACATTCTGATGGGGGTAGACCACTAAAAAGAAATAGATGCAATAAGTAAGTTTGTTATATAGCGTGTTAGAAAGCAATAAATATTTTAAGAAGAAGAAAAAGAGCAGTGTAAAAAGGATCGGTGCTTTCAGGGATGGGCCTGGGCAGGATTTATTGAGACGGTGACAGTTGAGGAAAGACTGAAGGGGTGAGAAAACTAGTCATATGATATCTGAAGGAAACATTCCAGCCAGAAAGAATAGAGGCCCTAAGGTGGGAGGGTGCCTGGTGTCGTCAAGGAAGAGCTAGGAGGCCAGTGTGGCTGAATGAGTGAACAAGGGAATGAGAATGGTAAAAGATGAACTCAGTGTACTCGTTTTCTATTAATGAGTAGCAAATTGCCACAAACTTAGTAGTTTAAACTACAACACCCACTATTATCTCACAGTTCTGTAGGTCAGAAGTCTGGGTGGGCTTGTCTAGGTTGTCTGCCTAGGATTTCTTAAGGTTGGTATCAAGGTGTCAGCCAGGCCAAACTTTATTGGGAAGCTCTGGGGAAAAATCCAGGTCCATATTTAGTTAGGTTGTTGGCAGAATTCAGTTTCTTGTGGTTGTAGGACTGTATTACATATATTTTATCATAAGGAATTGGCTCATGCAGTCATGAATGCTGAGAAGTTCCAGGATCTATAGTTGGCAAACTGGAGACCCAGGAGGGCCAATGGTATAACTTCTAGCTAAAGTTTGAGTCCAAAGTTAGCAGAAGACCCATGACCCAGCTCAAAGAAAGAAAGAAAGAGCAGATTCTCTCTTACCCAACCTTTGGTTTTATTCAGGCCTTGGATGGGTTGGATGGGGCTACCCATACGAGAGAGGACAATCAGCTTTACTCAGTACACTAATTCAAATGTTAGTCTCATCCAGAAAGTTCCTCACAGACATACCTAGAATAATGTTTAACTAAATATCTGGGCACCCTGTGGCCCAGTCAAGTTGACATATAAAATTAACCATTAGTCTTAACAAAGACTGAGGTCCCTGTTTTCTTGCTGGCTGCCAGTTGGAGGTCTCTCTCATCTTCTAGAGGCCACGCATTTTCCTTCCCATGTGGCCCTCTCTATCTTCAAGCCAGAAATGGTACATTTAATCCTTTTCATATCTGGAATCTGTCTGTCTTGTTCTTCTGCAATTAGCTGGATTTAACTCTCTGCTTTTCAAAGGGTCATGTGATTAGGTTAGGCCCACCCAGATAATTCTTCACCTTAAGATCAACTGATTAGTAATATTAATTACATTTGCAAAATCCCTTTTCCATGTAAGGTAACTTAACTGTAGGAGTAACACCAGGAGGTGGAGATCATGGGGCCATTTCATAATTTTGCCTACAACAGGCAGAGAGGCAACAGGGGATAAATCCTGAAGGGCCTTGTAGACCATTTTAAAACTTTAACTTTTACTCTGAGAGAAATGGGGATCCACTGAGAAGAAGAATTACTTGATCTGATTTACTTTTTTTTTTTTTGATTTACATTTTTAAATGATTACTTTGGTATAAAATAGATTTGAGGGGCAAAATTTAAAGAAGTGAGACCAGTTAGGTGGCTATTGCTATATTTAGGCAAAATATAATAGTCCCTTGGACCAGGGTGGTATTAGAGGAAGTGGAGAACAGTGGATACATTTCCATCTATTTTCTTTTTCTGTTCAGACTGAGTAATTCCCGTTTTTCTATCTTCAGATTCACTGATTCTTTCTTCTGTCATATTTATTCTGCTATTGAGCCCATTCAGTGAGTTTTGAAATTTTGTTTATTTTATTTTAAAGCTTTAACATTCTATTTGGTTTTTCTTTATATCTTTTATCCCTTTGCTGAGGCTTTCTTTTTTAAAAAAAGATTTATTTCAAGTGTGTTTGCAATTGCTCACTGAAGCATGCTGGCTACTTTAAAATCCTTGACAGATAATTCCAACATCTGTGTTATCTCAGTGTTTGTATCTGTTGGATTGTCTTTTCTCATCCAAGTTGAGATTTTCCTAGTTTTTGGTACGAGAAGCAATTTTTTTATTGTATACTGGACATTTTGGGTGTTATGTTGTGAGGCACTGGATCCTATCTAATCTTAGTCTTTTCCGCATAGTCTTTTCCGATTGGTTTAGGTGTAGCATGTAGATCCAAGTGAGATGGATATTCAGCTCCCTATTTGGCCCTGGTGACACCAGGGAGGAGAGAAAGTGGGGTACCAGCTAACATTTGACTTATTCTACCTGCCTGTCACTTGGTGGGGGTAGAGGCTCAGGTCCCATTGGACCCACTGACACCAGTGGTGGAGAGAAAGTAGCATGTTGACTAGCACCACCTTGAACCACCTTGTTTTGCCTCTTTGCCTCTGGGTGGGGCTAGAAGTTCAGCCCCCCACTGAGTCCCACTGACACTACCCTGGTAGGTAAAGTGGTTTGCCACTGAGTGCTGCTTCCTTCTTCCTCCTTCTATCTGTTGCCACTGCCAGGGGGTGGAAGTCCAGCTTCCAGCTGGTCCCTGCCAATACCAGGAGTAGGGGAATAGAATGCTAACCTCATTCCAGCTTGTTGCTGTTGGGTAAAGATGTAACTTCAGCTTTCCACTGAAAGTGGAGTCTCAACCAGCTACACCTCATACCATCTTATTCTGCCTTTTTGCTGCAGAGTGGGGATGGAAGTTCAGCTCTTGTTTGGACCACTGACACCAGCCCAGTGGAGGAAATGAAGGGCCATCTCATAATTGCTTCTCCTAACTGTCTCTGGTGGGGTCAGAAATCGAGCTATCTGCATGGTCTACTGGTACCACAATGGTGAGTGGACAGTTTTTTCTTTGGTATTTGGCTAGAAGTAGGGCCAGTATTACTAAAATGTTCCCAGTTCTATTCGTCTACCCTTTACCCAGTCCTTTGGTTACAGGGAGCAGGCTTTTCTTGAGGCTACTTTATCTGTGCCTGTTGGTGGTTTCAGGGTATAGGCTTCTCTACTGCCCCATCCAGGATATATGGGAAGCAGAAAGGAAATCCAGATAACTCACATCAGTGTCATTCCTCTCCAAGCCAGCCTGACTTCTTTCCAACTTGTTAGAGTGTTGCTGTGTTTATTATGTCTAAAGTTGGTTTTGCTTTTATAACAAGAGGGAGGATTAGAGGGGAATGGGGATACTCTATTTTGGCTGATACTGGAAGTCCAGGTTCTAGATACATTTGTGAAGGTAGGGGCCAAGAGGATTTTTGACAAAAAAAGTTATTATAAAAATATCCTTCTTCCCCCAATATAAAACACACACTCTTAGTGGGACCAATGACATTCAAGCTACAGATAATAAACAGAGGGAAGGAAGGGGGCTATTATGACTCTTTATACGTTAAATATTGTGCTTGATGCTTTCTGTGCATTATTCCATTTATTCCTCAAAACAATCTAATGAAGGATGTATACTGATGTCTGCAACTACTTTGAAACCGATCCTAAAGGGAAGGTGGGTTGATGACTGGATAGATTGAATAGACCAAGTATAGTAAAATATTAAAAGCAGA